CCTTGAAAAGGTCACTCAAGGTCAAGTCCATAATTTCATCATGTGTCTCCCTCTGAACCCTACAACTTTTGTATAAAACATTCTTGTCTTAAACTTATAGATTTTAAGATATTTCAGTGGATACATTAAAATGGCCTACCTTGTATATATTCCTCTATTAAACATTATTTGTGACTCTCAATTTATATACTGAGTTTTATTTTTCTAATATAGAAAGTTAATATAAGTAAATAAATATCTTTTTATTTATTCTTAAAATAATTTAATATATAGAATTTATATTATATATTTTTATTTCAGCATGAGGTTCCGCCAACAAACGAATTTAAAATCAATATGAAATTAGAAGCATTAGATCCACGAAACTTAACATCAACTTGTATTGCCACTGTAGTGGGCGTTCTTGGACCTCGGTTGAGATTAAGATTAGACGGTTCTGATAATAAAAATGATTTCTGGCGATTGGTTGACAGTAACGAAATACATCCGATAGGTCATTGTGAGAAATCTGGTGGGATGCTTCAACCTCCGTTAGGCTTCCGGATGAATGCTTCCAGCTGGCCAATGTTCCTTCTAAAAACTTTGAACGGTGCCGAAATGGCACCAGCAAAAGTATTCAAACGCGAACCAAAGACACCACGTTCTAATATGTTCGAAGTCGGACATAAGTTAGAAGCTATTGATAAAAAAAATCCTCAACTTATATGCACCGCAACTGTCGGTGCAGTTAAGGATGATATGATACATATTACATTCGATGGTTGGCGCGGTGCTTTTGATTATTGGTGTCGTTACGATTCCCGAGATATTTTCCCTGCAGGTTGGTGCTTTAAAAGCGGACACCCGTTGCAACCACCAAGGCAAAAATGTACGAGAGAGATTGAATATAATTTCCAAAATCAATCAATATATTATAGATATATTTTGTACTATTATATGTACATATAATATATTTAAATATCTATAATTCACACACACTTTTCTGTTAATAATTTTTGCAATTTTAATTAATACAGCAACAGGTCCTAACAGATTTAAATCCAGAGCTAGTAATGTTTTGTTAGTAATGGCAGTTTCTGGAAATAATACTAGCAGAGAACCAGCAGTCGCATTAGTGAGCCCTGCAGGTTCCAGCGCACCACCACAGCCAGCTACAGAACCTGATACTAGTACAGCCAATATAAAACCACATGCACTTGAAAATGGTTAGTAAATTCTACATCAAACACATGATGTGGAAAAACATAATAAAATACATGTAAGAATTAGACTCAAAGAATATAACATAATTGTACATTGCAGTTACAATTTATGTCAATCATAACTGTTCCTGTGGACCATATTTTGATCCTCGAAAAGTGAAAGCCATGCCAGCACAATTTGGTATTGGTCCTATACTAAATGTTGCAAGAGAAATCTTTCAAGCATTTTTAATGGCAGCCATGAGTCCTAGACAAATGTTGAGCTTGTTGAAACGTGGTGAAGGTGAAACCATAAACTTGACTCTGGAAAGTAAACCTGCCTCTGTTAGATTACCGATTTTTCTGGAAGAAGAAGATTTTTATATGTATATTAGGCGGCAACTCGAAAATCTATGTGCATGTGAACACATGTTAGTAAGAAGAAAAGAGGCTTGCAACAAATGTCCTAGTACGCAACAACCACAATCTATTAACAGTGATGAAACAAATAACATAGTAGCAGAAAAAAGAAGATGGTCATCACAAAATCAACAAAACTTAACATCTACTACACAACAACAGCAGAGCACTGTACAAAGTATAAATAATTCAACAGTATCATCTCCTACACTTGCAAAACAATCTCGCAAGTCTGTTCCTGGTAATTATTCCAATTTTGTACAAAATTTTAATATATACACAGGATGTGTACAAAAAGTCACAAAATGATCAAATATTATTGAAATGGCTCATTTCCGAAGAAAATGGTTCATACAAAAGTTGTAAGGTTAGAGAGTGATATCGCTTTGATCTTAATTGGTGTCATCAAGGTCAGGTGAAAAACGAGAATTTTTTGAATGAAAACTCATTTTTTTTATTGCATTTTCTTATAACTGATGGCGAGACATTTTCAAAATAAACAAATAAACTTTTTTTGTTGGAAACTCCATGAGTTATAAGTTCTCAAAGTTTGAGTACCATCGGAATTAGCATTAAACAAGATATATCATGTGAAGATTGCATGGTTAGATTTATATCTCTAGTATTGTGTATATGTGTGTGCGTGCATGCATATGTATGTTGAATCATTCAAACTTTACAATTTCTGTATTAACCATATAATATGGGACTTTTGAAAAATCCTATATATAATATAATATATTACATCTTCATATGTGTACACACACACACTACACATACATACATTGAGTTTGAGTTGGGTGGCGTCGCTAAGGTCAGGCCGAGAGGTTGCCTTCATTGGCTGGATCAGCCACCGAGCTTGCCTAAGGTAATCTCGACCTGACTTTCGCGACGCCACCCAAGGTCAAACTCATAAGGTCAGTAAATAGATCTTTTTACACCCTACAACTTTTGTCTAAAACAGTTTTTTAATATAAAACTTATATTTTTTGAGATATTTCGAGATATTTCCGACCTTTTTCGAACACTCTGTCTGCCGTAGCGATGTAACGACACGTTTCCGACCTTAGGTCCATTTGCAAAAAATGATTCTATTGGTGCCACCGACAATGTCTGAAAGTTTGTCGGTGTATTTCTGAATCACCCTTACATATATATATATATATGTATACAAGGTGTCCTACCAAAAGTGGTCACTCCCTTTTATCTTTTAAACTAAAAGAGATAGACCATAACAAATATATATCAAATTAAA